TCCTAAATGGAGTTTACGCTCCTTGGACCATTTGCCTTTGGGTTTACGGCCGTAAACCAAAATGGTTTATGGTCTTTTGATGTTTTCAAGTGCTAAGCTGATCAAGGAAGGGATCTAGGTTAGTTTCCAAGGCTTAGAAGGGACTAGGGCACACTTTGGCACCCTTTTTAGGGTTTACGGTCCAAGAACATCTTGGACCATAAACACCTTTGATCTTGACTATCTTGGTGTTTTCTTGATGTTTAGAAGTGTAACAAGCCTTATGATACTCTAGGATAGAAGTACTTACTAGATAGAAGCTTGAAAATGTGCTAAAAGTCCAAGAACACTAGTGTGTGTTCTTGGTGTTCTTGGTGAAACTTGAAGATCTACACATTTTGGAATGATTTCACGGATGGAAGTGTGTAAGATCACTAGATTAAGCTAGATATCAACTTTTTAGGGTAAGAAACACTTACATGTTGAAGATCTTGAAGAAATGTTGGATGATACTTGAGAGAGAATTGAGATTTGGATCTTGAATTTGTGAAAAATGGTAAAATATGACTAAGTGTCATATTTATACCCCCTTTTAGGGTTTACGGTCGTAAACACCTTTGTTTAGGCCGTAAACTCCAAACTCTTGGAGTTTTGGAATATTATTGTTGCACAATAAACCCTAGGGCATCCTCTCTCCTGGTATCTCCTGAAGTACTAACTTAAAAACACTCAAACTTATTCCAAAAAGCTTGAAAGTTTGCAGAAACTGTTCTGACTTCTATTGAAGTGAATGGTTGTACAGAATAGAAATTTCGGGTTGTCACAAATATAAGAACAACGATTACAAAATAAACATAAGTAATAGCATAAATTGGTTTGTTTTTATTCAGTACAATCTATAGTTTAGGAAACTTTGTTATTTCCTTATCTTGTTTATTGTATTGTTGTATTATTTAAAGGATTCAATACCAGTTGTAAATGCATTGATTCTCAATACCTAATATGGTATCAGCCTAAAACTTCCTGGCCGACCCTATTTTCTTCTCTTGTTACTTTTCTTCTCTTCGCCATGATAGGAGATTCCACCGATTCTACCCTTTCCCTCTCCACTCGTCTTCATCTTCTTACCATCAAACTAACTTCCTTTAATTATCTATTATGGAAGAAGCAGATCATACCCCTATTGTCTTACCAGAAGCTTCTTGGTCATGTTGATGGCTCGAGTCCTGCACCATCATCCACAATTATGGTTTCAAATTCAGCCCATGCTCCAAATCCGACTTATCTCACATGGTTAGTGATGTGTATATTTAATGCACTAGTTTTGTTTATTTATAATTCATAATTTATCGCATCTAAACCACACCTTACAGGCAGTGAACCCGATCAAGTATAGTATAGCTTTGATAAGCAAGGGTGTCGAACACAAGGGGAACGGTGGTGAATTAATTTGGAGTTTTTGATTATAGGTTACACAAAACACACGAAAGTAGTAAAGAAAGGTTTTATTAAATTAAATCTCAAACAAACAACTAAATAGCAAATCTCGATAAACTGACTTGAAGACAAATCTCTTCAGGTACTTTGGTTTAAACAAATTTCATCTTAAAATCATAGATAATTGCACACACAGATTTTTTTATTCATGTTTACTGATTTCTAAAATGATTAGGTTCATATTCACTATGTTTCCTGGCGTTCAGTTCGTATCAAGCAAGACTTGTAATAATAGTTAATTAAATTTGTCAATTCAATCAACTTATGTGTGGTTGTTCATCACACCTGCTCACACATTGATTTACTTATTTTCTAGTTAACCCTAGTTTCATATTTACTATTCCTAGACATATAATCTTATGTTCACAAAATTATATGATTCAACCAATCAAGACGATGTTCATGCAACTCAATAACTTGATATGTAACAAAAAATAATTATCATCAATACATAAAGGATCTTTAACCAGCTTAACAAGATAAATTAAACACGAATATAACAATCCAATATACAATTAATCCATAAACAAAGGTTTTATCTAATCAAAAATACAAAGCAAAGGGTTTTAACACCCAAATCAGAAAGTAAACATATAGTGGCATCACAATGGAATGCTAAACATGGTCACGATAACAAACTACATGATTACCGACACGAATCCGCTCTCTAATCCCTTAGATCTTCGCTCCTGTCAGCTTAACGGCGTTCCAGCCGCCTCCTAGACCCTCAAAACGGCTCACCAGAAGTTACTTGTCGACTAAAATAGGTTAGAAGTTGGAATCCCTTTTTTGAACGAATTAAATGTATATATATAGTAATTTTACACCGCCAAACGAACGCGGCGCGTAGGTCCAAGGAACGCAGGGCGTTCACCCAGGCGATCCCGTAATCAGCAAGCCACGAACGTAGCGCGTTCATCCTGGGAACGCAGGTCGTTCGGCCCACTTTCAGCCCGATTCTTCTTATTTGCAGTCCAACTCCGTTTTTCCAAGCTTTTTGCTTCAATTCCGCTCCAACAATAATTAATAGCTGTAAATTACAATTCAAAGCATTATAAGTACCTTTTAGCTCTAAATATTATAAAAACATAGCATAAAATAATAAGAAAAAACCTAAATTATATGTATAAAATAAGCGTTATCAGTTAGCCACTGATCAAAAGGCTCTTATCCTACTCCAGTCGTCCCTCTCTGAAGAGGCGATGGCTGAGACTCTCAATCACAAGACCTCTCATGCGGTCAGGTATGCTCTTGAGGCTGCATACAACCATGACTCGGTTGAAAGAATGCACACTCTACGGGATTCTCTTAGCCAAATTAAAAAGGGTTCTTCCACTGTTGTTGAATTTCGACGGAAATTTAAGAGCATCTGTGACCAACTTTCCTCTATTGTTCATCCTCTTGATGAGACTGATAAAATCCATTAGTTTCTTCATGGTCTTGGTTCTTCATTTTAGAATTTCTCTACCACTCAACATCTCATTCAACTTTGCCCATCATTCTGTGATCTCGTTTCTCAAACTGAAAGTCATGAGCTTTTTCTTAATTCTTTGTCTGGTTCAAATGTTTTACAGGTTGCTTTCAACACTGCGACCTCTTCTAGCTCCTCTCAGGGACGTGGTCGTTCCTCAGCACATGGAAATTCTTCACGAGGACGTGGACATGGTAGACGTTCCCCCCATTGTCAGTTATGTCACAAGGATGGCCATTATGCAAATCATTTTCCATATTTGCATACCTTTTCTACTCGTCGATCTCCTACTCTTGATGCTAACTTAGCACATGCCTTTTAAGCTCAGTGAAATGTTTCATATACTTCTTCTGACTGTTTTGTTGATACTGGGGCTACATCACATATGACGCCATCTTCTTCCCACCTTGATTCATCTTCTACATATTCTGGTAATGATTTTGTCATGTTTTGTAATGGGCATGTCTCTCCCATATCTCATACTGGTTTTTCTAAGTTATCGCCTCACATTAATTTATATGATTTTCTTGTGGTTCATCCTCAAACAAAGAGCATGCTCTCTATTAGCAAACTTACCATGGATAATCTCGTTGATGTTTTATTTTATGACCATACCTTTCTCATTCAGAACCGGTTTTCAAAGGAACCACTGGCAAAAGGGTGACTTAAGATGGTCTATATATTATGGAGCAAGGGCAACGTGCATTTTTGGCAAATCTTACTTCAAAAAGAATTTGTGCATCTTATGATTTATGGCATAGCCATTTAGGGCATGTTTCATTTGAAATTATTAAGTTATTGAATAAAATAGGTTTCTTGTCTGTTACATCTCTTTTACCAAATTCTCGTGTTTTTTCATCATGCCAATTATCTAAAAGCAAACGATTGCCATTCAATCTAAATTATAAATGTGAATCTCATGTGTTGGATTTCGTATATTGTGACTTGTGGGGACCATCTCATGTTACTTCTAAGGATGGGTATCGATATTATGTTGTTTTTTAGGACTTCTCCAGGTTTTCCTGGTTTTATCCCTTAAAATTGAAGTCCGACTTATATGATGTTCTCCACACATTTGTCACTTTTGTTCAAACCTAATTTTCTTGCAAACTCAAGGTTTTTCAATCTGATGGTGGTACGGATTTTGTTATTAATCGTGTTTGCTATTTATTTTTGCAAAATGGCACTCATCACAGGTTATCTTGCCCATACATGCCTCAACAAAATGTCTGTGCCGAAAGAAAGCATCGTCATATTACAACGATCGGTTTAGGAATGATGTTTAATGTAAATGTTCCTGCTTCTCTTTGGACTTATGCTTTCTCTTCTGCAACTTATATCATCAATCGGTTATCTACACCACTCTTGAATGACCGCTCTCCATATGAATTCTTGTTCTCAGCTACAGCAAATTATGGAAATTTTTAGGTTTTTGGCTGCTGTGTGTATCCTTATTTTCGGGATTATTCTTCTCAGAAACTAGCACCTCACAGTGCCCCATGTGTTTTTGTGGGCTATAACTCCCAATACAAAGGATATTGTTGTGTACGAATGAGTTCCCATACACAACTCATCAAGTTGTTTATTATACAAATCATGTTTGGACATGGAAATAATTTTGTAGGTTAACCCGCAAACTTATTTATTTTATTAAATTAAAAAAATAAAAAATATTTACTAAATAAAGGAGATAGTAAAGATTAATAAGTAAATGTAATAGATTAAGACAGTGTTTGGATGTTTATCTGAAAATAAGTTTTTTACTTATTGACTTCTTGAAAAACCAAAATGACGTAAATGTGGTTAATTGTGAAACACTTAAGACAATGAATAAACCAAAAATCGTTTGGGTAATGATACTTCGATGAAGTTTATCAAATTGTGTTTGGCTGAAAAAGATTAGGGGCATAGACCTGGTAGTCATTTCAATAAGCTTGGGTAGGTGAATATATGGAAAGCATGCAGGAAGAAACATGAAAAGTCTTTGCATCGAAACAAATTAAAAACAAATGGGACAACTTGAAAAAAAGATAGGAAGCTTTATGACCGCTTAATGATGCTTGAAACTGGAATCGGTGGGACAAGAAACTTTTTAGATGCATTGCCTGAGTGGTTGGAGGAGAAAATAAAGGTAACATTTACCATTTTTTTAATCATTTGTAGTTATGCTTGTATAGTGAAATCTATGAATTAAACGTCATATGTTTATCTTGTAGGTTGATAAAGACTTCGCCAAATTTAGGGGCACATATTTGTCCATATATGAGACGTATTATGCTCCTTTGTTTCGGGATTCCGTTAATACTGGAGATAAATCTCTAACTCCGTTACAATTTCTAAACGATGATGAACGGGAAGACAACATGAAAGGCAATGAAGATAACGAGGAAATCAATTTAGATGATGATGAGCCTCTTTTTCCTAGTTTCCCTCAAACTAGTTTGAGTAAAAGGAAGAACTCTACGTATATTTCCAACAACCGTTCAACCAAGAGTAAAAGTTCATATCTTGAGGAAAACCGAGAAGTTGTGTTGGATGCAATATCAACGAAAAGCACATAAACTTTTCCACCAACTAATCCCTCTCCAACACTATCAGATTGCATGAACATTGTGGTCACTTTTCCAAGTTTCAATGAAGGTTAACCATAGTATTCACAAGCATTACTTGTCTTCGTCAAAAAGCAAAATTGGGAAGCTTTTATGTTTCCAACGACTAATGATGTGAAGATGGAGTTCCTTAAGTTACTTATGAAGAATTGATGTGTCGTTTGAAGAATTGATGTGTTATCATTTGACATTATGTGTTATCGTTTGACATTATGTGTTATCCCTTTATGTGTTATCGTTTGACATTACGTGTTATCATTTTAAGTGTTATCGTTTGACATTATGTGTTATCCTTGTATGTGTTTATTGTTTGATGTTATTGTTGGGTTTTATGTACTATAACACTCATATGGTGCACATACAACCCTAATAACTTTGGATCTAAGTTTTCTCTAGTTATACATGCAACAAAATTTCCAAAGCTTGAAACCTACAACTAATATACAATATTGGTAATTGAAACATAAAAGTAAGTTAGAAGAATACCTCTTAATTTTAGCTTGTAGGAATTGGTCTTTCAAGAGCTTAGCACCTCAAGTGTGATGCCTCAAATGTCTTATAACAAACCAAGAACAAGAGGAGGAACTTGAGAGAAAGGTTTGGAGACACAAAATCATCTAGAGCTTCTTGGAATCACTAGTGCACGATTTTTGGATTAAGGGTTACATTTATATAATGTAGAATCTAAAAGTTAAACCATAATCCACTTCCTTGGGCCTTAATCCAATAATCCATATGATAAGCCCTTTGGACTAGCTCTTCATGGAGTCTTACATGAACTTAGTCCATTACTAATCAATATGGATTATTAGCCCAAACTATATATATCATTGATTTTACACAAATCAGTCCCCGTTAATTTAATTAGTCTCTTTTGATCACTAAATTAATTTCAAATTAATTCTTGATCAATACTAATTAAATAATATGATTTCTCAATTAATATATTATACTTATAATATATTAATAAAGCACATTAACCTCTTTCTCAAATATCCATCCTATCAAATTGTTCCAGAGTGTTACAACCCAAATGGACCATGCTTGTATCGGGTCAACTACATACCAATTATAGGTATTGGCTTAGAGACCTAATCCAACAATCTCCCACTTGGATAAGTCTTATAACTATTATTGCAAGCACGACTTCAAAATCCGATTAGCAATCGTAGCTCTCAAAAAGACCATTGTCGAACTCTGATCTTATTAGTAAGGCGTCCATTAGATAAGGGATCATATATTCCTCCATTCTATATATCGTATGGATATGAGACATGGATTATAATCATTCTCTCTGTCCATGTGTTGTTTCCCGATTTCCGATTTATGACGACCGACTAATTGAACAAATCAAATCAGTCCATGTTTGGCCAAGCGCTTAGGGTTGTCATCACTAAATCATCGAGGGGCCCACAGATATCGCTTTTATCCCTCTTAGGGTAAAAGGAACGGATAAACTTCGACTCATGTGCTTGCTCTATTTACTCATCAAATCACACACAATGATACGTTTTATAACACCGAGTTACTGGTGCGTTTACATATCATCAATGTGCAACCGACTTGTAAACTGCAACTCATATCTCCCCGTTTCAAGAATATAAGATATTATCGTCTCATGATCACTCGTGATAAAATCCGTGAAGTGATTCAAATGAGCGTCGGTTTAGTCCAATACTCAAATCTTATTACAGGAGTACTCATGAATACTGCAGGAAACTTATGCTATGTCTAAACACCTTTATACAATCTACAGACCCATTCATGATAGTCTAGCTTCAATACCTACTTCCAAAGTATTATCGACTGTGGATAGTTTGAATAATTTAATTATTTGGGAAGTCAAAACATGCAAAGTGAAACACAAGAATAATCGAATCCAATATGGTCTCAACCTTTTGAATATAAATAAAACACCTTTTATTTAATCACCATATTGATTACACATTATTCATTGTATAATGTGTCGATTTATCAACTTTATACTTGAATTAAAAAAATAGTTATCCCATGCTCCAAGCATGCACACTATGTTTACCTATGGTCCTTACTTTGTGAAACAAATCAATTGAATACATTCTTCAATGAAACTCATTTCGCAACTTCAAATCTTTATCACAAGTGTAAGAATGCCAAATTCTTGCCACTATTAGAATGTGTCAGATTCTAAACTATTATGCAATGATTCCTTTCGTAATGTCAAGGTACAGAAGTCACAGAGACTTTCCCAATGATATTACAAAGTATTCCTCTGGAGATTGTTACAAGAACAATTCCATGGAAGTGAAGCCTCAATTTCAAAGTACATTCCTTTGAACATCCTTCTTGCACAAAAGTTTCTAACTTTCACATAGGTTCTTAATATCCAACTCCCATTATGGAAACATTTCCATATTTGTCATATGACAACTCATTATTAATGGAATCTTGTTTATTCATAATAATGTCAATACAGTCCATTCATTACTATACTTCCAACTACCCATAAGTGACCAATCCTTGGCGAACCTTAGATCGTCATTGACAATTGTTTAACCATTTTAGTCATATCCAGTTCTAGTCCTCTTTCCCTCTTAATGACCTAGGCATTTGGAAACTTAGAACACAAGAATATTATAGCATATGCAATCGATCCTATACCTGAAGCATATGGGATACAATTCATAATGTCTTACATAAAGGCATGATACTCGACCAGTCTTTTGCTATATGTAACAACGTAAATTTCAAAATAAATTTTTGATTTTAAATCATATAACCTTCACATCACATTTCATAAAACTCGTTTATTTATTTTACAAAACATAATCCCTCGTTAGTTACTTATTAATCCAGGATCTTCGAAACATAATTCTTTCTCTAATGTGTACAATCATGCCAGTGTCGTCCCGCGATTATGAGGAAACCTGAAACACATAACACATAACACGGTAAGCACGAAGCTTAGTGAGTTCCCCAAAATACCACATATAACACGTATTACCCACTCGAGGCTATAACTCTGTGGGCCCACTAGCCCTAACTCTGTGGACCCTCTGGTCCTAACTTTGTGGACCTTCTGGTCCTAACTCTGTAAACTCTAGAATACACACATCATAAATCACATAGAAATAATGCAGTGCAACACATCACATACATAGCATACAAGATACTCTGTCACATACTCTACTTACCACTCAAGGTAAAGTATAGTGAGAAGACTCACCTCGGGTAACTCGGTAAATCTCGAACTCGGTAAAAATCTGGTCTAGCCTCCGCCTAATCACATGGAATAAGTACTCTAATCAATACAACTCTCAAGGCTAGACTAATCCCTCTCTTAGCACACTCAGAAGGGTAAAAGACCATTTTACCCCTCTCATGGCTCAAAGACCCAAACATTGACCAAACCCTAAAAGTCAACAAAAGTCAACTCTCCGGGTTACGCTGCGCGTACCAAACCTGTACGCTGGGCGTACCCGGCAACCTCACAGAATCGGGGAACGCGACCCCCTACGCTGCGCGTACTGGGATTACGCCCCGCGTAAGTCCCAGTTTCATGCTCCTTTGCTTTTGGGGTCTTAAACGGTTAAGACACACATCCAACTCCCAGATCTGACTACCCCTAAGCCTCTTAATCCATAAAGTTGGTGACTTTAAGCCTTTGCATGGCTGTAAGAGTCACCAACACCCAAATCATTCCACTTCCAACACTTTAAAGTCGATAACTCAAACATGACTCCCTAATGACGACCAAGTTGGGATTTTTTATGGATCTACAACACACATAACACTGAAATGGGACAGATCTAGGTCCATGGAGCCCCTTTTGCTCATAAAGTCTCCACCTTTGGGACTTAAACCCTAGAAATGGACCATTAAACACCAAACCAAAATAAAGAGGAAAGTTCTGAGCTTTTTACCTCTAAGTGAAGCTCCTTCCTCTGAAGAACTCAGATCCAAGCTTGAACTCCAAACCCTAGCCTCTACAAGCACCTCCCCTTCTTCTTCACTAACACACGAAGGCACTTTTAGCTCAAAACACTCACACACAAGCTTTTAGAACGAAGGAAATGCTCTCTTAGGGTTTCTCTCTGTGAAATGGTGGCTGAGGATAAGGCCATATCATTCCTTATATAGTGCACAAATCTCATTTAGGGTTTGCATCTGGACCAGTTACGCCCAGCGTAACTTTGGTATGCCCAGCGTAACTTTGGTACGCCCAGCGTACCTTAAAGAGTCCGCGTCCATTTCAAGCGCATGAGTACGTGCAGCGTACTCTCCAGTACGCCCAGCGTACTCATTTGCAACATTTTCCACTCAGGGACCAATCTTGACAACTTGACAAAAAGAGAAGTGTTAAATAGTTGCACCTGAATTTCGGGATGTTACAATTCTCCCCCACTTATTTTGATTTCGCCCTCGAAATCGCTCCTTCAACCACACGTAGATTGAATTCAACAACCCGAAAGGCACCACCAAAAGGATCTCATGCCGCACCGAAACTTTTCCATGGACACCTGAAAACACACCGAAAACTCCCAAATCCATAACTGATCCAACCCTTCTGCCCTTAATATACTCCTTCTCAAAATCTGGTAACTCTGGTGGCCTGACAGCCGTCAAATCGCCTGCTCAAGCGATCACCATGATATTCGCTCCTCGAATATCAAAACCTGATAACTCACTGGTCCTTTGATTCTCACAAGACCAATTCCAACAATCGGCTACCGTTCACTCATACCAAACGTGCCAAATGATCTGATCACGCCCCAAGAAACGGGAGGGTTCACACCCCACCGGGGCTCATCCACTAAACTGTTATCAGACCCCATCTGAACAAAGAATCCCCAACACTCTGTCCTCAGACATAAGAGAATAACCATGCTCGCTTAGAAGTGTCCTCCGACATCACCATGATAAGCTCCAGTTTCGTTTCTCATATCCCTTTTCAATACTGAGCACCAGATCAA